CAGAGGTTCGAAGATCGATCCTCTGTTTGGTTGTTCGTTGTTCTGTGTTGCAGCTCTTCAGCGCGGGGAATGTGAATGCGAGAGGGCAGGTGCATGGTACGTCAGTAGTGGGGGAAGGGCTAAGGCACCTCCTGGCCGCCCGCTGTTTGGCCCCTTTCGCGAAAGGAACCCAGCGTAGAACTCCTTGATGCACGATATTTATCCTCCTCGCTCTCTTGCTCCTCCTCCTCCTCCTCCTCCTCCTCCTCCTCCTCCTCCTCCTCCCCGTCCCCCTCCCCCTCCCCCTCTCTTCCTCCTTCGTCTTGCTCGAACGGTATTCTTCCTGCCCCGTCTTACCCTTGCCTGCCGCTGCCGTTCCCAGCCTGGCCAGGCACCGCGCCCGCTTTTAGTTTTGCTCTTCCCATCCGCATGCAGAAAAGTCCCGCGCCTTTCAACTTCTACGTCACATGTTCTAGTTGGTGGCGGAGTTTCGGCTCCAGTACCACGGCCGCAGTGGCTTCTCGTTCTCGCCTCGCTTCGACAGCACAGGCTCCAACTCCATGCCGCTTTACATCGTACCGCTCTACATCCAGTTGATCATCTCGCTGGACATTCTGTTATATGCAGTTCTTCCCGTTCGCCGCGGCAGGAGACGTCGTCACTCTCGGGTTCGTCGGGGCGTCCGCCCATCCGCCAGGACTGGTGACAGGAAAGGCGCACACATATTTTAACCAGTGCGAGATCTGCGAGGGCCCCAGCCGCGCGCCGGAGCTGTCAAAGATTCTTCCCGGGCTTGCGTTGACTGTGTCAACGCAGCTCGCGGACCCCGCTCTGTCAATACACCCGCCTGTGCGTGTAGCCGTAAATGTCAGACAGTTGCTCGGCACGACGCTCACATGTACGGTGTAAGTTACGTGCCCCGAGCTTCTACCGACTGTGTCGCTGAAGCTCTGGGGGGGGCAAGTCGAGAAATGCGGGGATGCAATGGAGGGCCTTGCGATTGTTTCGCCAGCACTCTGCGGGGCAGCGATTCGGAACCGGGAGGACCATCGTTCTGTTATGTGGTACGCGGCTTCTTAGTCTACCCATCCTGGCAGCACTGGGTCCCGACGCGCGCTCCTCTAGATGATCGTGCAGTTGGTGGTGTTCGGTGCAGTGACAGTTCGACGTACGAGGGGCATTCCCGTGATTGCGTCGCGGGATGTCCCAGGCGCCGGGAGCACCACAACCACACGATGAAAACAGACACCCAATACGCAGACGAGGAGGAACACATCTGGGGCGAGTATCCGCGGCGTCTCGGAGGCGCCATTCCTGAGCAGCGCCGCTGGTGTATCCCTGGCCCCCAGCATTTCTCCGACACGTGGAGACATACCTCCTGTGCACGCAGCTCCCTCTGTCCGATACGATGGTGTCTTTTCCTTGGAATTGAACGTCGGCGATGACACGTGTCTGCGGATGGAGAACACATCAGCGATATGGGAACGGATGGGAGGGAGGGATATCATGTCAGATACGGCGCGGGCGCGCCTAGCTTGCCTCTCCCCCCCTCTCTCTCTCCCCCTTCCCCCGTTCCACTCCTTTCTCCCCCCTCCTTGCCTCGACCTCCCTGTCTCGTGCAGGAAGAAGCGCTGCACATCGCGAGCGACACCGGCCCCCGTCGCGAGCTCACATCGTTGAGCGAGCGAAGCCCCCCCCCCCCTTCCCGCTCCCCCCTCTCCTGCCCGCCCCCTGGCGGCCTGCCGCCGTCCTCGCCGCCGCCCCCGCCGCGGGCCGCGGGCCCGCGGGCCGCCCTTCCTCCGCCAGGCGTCGGCGCCCGCAGCGCCGGCGAGGCGCTGGAGCAGCCGGCCTGCGCGTTCCGCACAGACCACCGGGCGCCCCAGGCCGCCCTCCCCCATTGGAAGAAGATGCGGGCAACACTTCTGTCCATATCCACTGCAGTGTGGAGCTTCGGGCTCCCTTCCCAAGGAACCCGAGGCGCACCGGAGATGGATAAACTTGGCCCCTAGAGGCTCGATTTTTATCCATATCCACTGCGCCTCGGCCTTGTGGCGCCGCTTTCAAAAAGATCAAGAAGGCACTGGATATGGACATGAATCGTGCCCGCAGAAGAGGAAGCGGCATGGACACTCTTTCTCGGAGGTCCGCGTGCGGACCTCCGACGCCGTGCAGGCCCTGCCGCCGGGGCCTTCAGTGGAGCTGCTCATGGGGCCACGAAGCGTGCGAGGGGCGTGGTGAATCTGGTGCGGGGCCGCCATGTGGACTCTGCCGCGAGTGCCTTCGGTGGGGCTCCCTATTGCGCAACGACTGTGTAGGGGGTGTGCCGTGCCGAAAGGGAGTGCGGGGATGTGAGGAGGAGGAGGAGGAGGAGGAGGAGGAGGAGGAGGAGGGGGAGGGGGAGGAGGACGAGGAAGAGGAGGAGGAGGAAGAGGAGGAGGAGGAGGAGGAGGAGGAGCAGTAGGAGGAGGAGGAGGAGGAGGAGGAGGAGGTGGAAGAGAAGGAGGAGGGGGAGGAGGACGAGGGCAGGCGGAGGAGGAGGAGAACGCGGGGCGCTGCCCATTCCAAGCGAGGACCCAACAGCATAGGACAGATGGGAAAATGATGTTTTGGGGTTCTCGCACGATTTGGGAAATGCTCTGTTCTTCGGTCGTGCGGGCGTCCGAGACCGCCTGGGAGGCACGAGCATCGCCCCAAAACTAACCAGAAGGGTTTCCAGACAGTCCAAGGGAGCCCCTAGACGGCCCAACAGGGACCCAGGATGGCCCGAAGAGAGCCACATAACGGCGCAAGCTGGCCCCAAGACGCCCCCCGAAGCTCTCCAAATTGTGACCCTGTCGTTCAGGGAGACCGCCGTTGGAAGCAGGGTGGCCCGAGGAAGCCCCCAGAGGCCCCCAGAAAGCGCCCTGGAGACCTCCAGAAGGCCCCAAGAAGCCCTTCAACATTTTTGTAAGGCCCCCAAGAGGCTCTCCATAAAAGGAGTTGTTGCAAAACGAGCTGAGGAGGAATGGGCAGAATCGGCAGGGTAGGGCGAGAATGAGGAATAGAGAGAGGGGAAACATGAGCGACTCATACTCACTAAAAGTATCAGATCGACGATGTCGGACAATATACCAAGGAGTTGTCGCTAAACTTCCAGTGACCAATTCATGTCCTTCAGCTTGCATGCCGAACTTCATGGACCAAGGTGGGTAGCGCGAAGCGCCAATGCAGTCTTGTATATATGTATATATATATATATGTATATATATATATTACATGTTAGTATAACATGTATGCATATCACCATATCTCCATATCCATATCCATATCCACCGACCGCTGGTTTCCCAGGATGTCGGCTCCCGAAGTGGTGGATCTGTATATATATAATAATAATAAGCTCCGGCCTCGCAGCCTGGGTCGGACGCAACGGGGGTAGCAAGATGGGGTTGTTTCGCGAATCAGCTCACGCAGCTGGCTCTCCCGGCGCCTCCCGGCCCCTCCTGGCGCCAGTGCATCGAGGATCGCGCCCAGCGGCAGAAGCCAGCTGCATGCTGCATGGCGATGTGGCGCCGCGCCCCGGCCTGGCCTTCGCGGACGCGACACATGTGGGCGCCTGCCGAACTGTCCGAGGGCCAGGTCGCCAGGCCGTCCGCACCGACACGGTGTTGTGTGGGCACCCTCTCTTGCCTGCAGTGGAGACCCATGCCAAGATCAACCCTGCGTGCCTCCAGGGCGCCCCGGATTTCTTGGGTAGCGATGGTTCTGCCATGGAAGGCGTTACGATCGCATACCGAAAATCAGTGGACGTCCAGGGGTCTCAGGATTGGGCTTCTTGCGGAAGATTTCTTGTGGTCGAGCCCCTACTGTTCCTCCTTTCCTCATCCGCTGCCCTTTCGGACCAGGTGGTGACGCCACACCTACATATATATATATATATATATATATTCAGGTATAGGCATACACATGTAGATACGTACATGTGTATATTATGTACACACATATATATAGAGAGAGACTTAGAATATCCTGTCTCCGTGCAAAGGAGAACACGTCAAGCGTCTCCATCCTTCGGGTCACTGGTAACTAGGGTTGGCTCTCTGATCCCGCCCTCTCGTTCACAGGTCGGCTCTGGGCAAGCGTGGCCCTTCGCCGGAGGGCCCCTTGGTTTCGCGGCTCCCTCGGGGGACGCCGCAGGCCCGAGCCCAAGCTCGCAGGCCGTGGCTGCTGCTGCCACGCTACTGCCGCATCGCGTGCAGCGATCGGCGCGCCGCGTCCCAAAGGTCACGATTTGACGGGCCACCACCATGAGTTGGAGGGGGAGGGGGTCCTCCTCCTCCTCCTCCTCCTCCTCCTCCTCCTCTTCGTCTTCCTCCTCTTCATCTTCCTCCTCCTCCTCCTCCTCCTCCTCCTCCTCTTCGTCCTCCTCCTCCTCGTCCTCCTCCTCCTTCCCCCGTCCAACTTCTGGTGGTGGTGGTGGTGGGAAACAGGCCCATCAACCCTTGCCTCCCCGACCATCGGGTACCAGGTGTTTTCGGTCGCGATCGGCACCGACCGATCGGCACTCCAAATCGGTCGCGACCGATCGCGACAGGGCGGTCGCGACAGGTCGGTCGCGACCTATCGGTCGCAACAGATCTTGAAGCAGTTCGGCCGCGACCGATCCTGGAATCTAAAGCAAGAGCGGTAGCGACCGTTCTCGCCGGTCGCGACTGGAAAGTTCCAGCATCCAGTGACCAGGACCAGGGCCAGTTTTGGGTGCAGCCGAACAGATGCCCTCCCCGACGACCACGACCACGACGACGACGACCACGACGACGACGACGACGACGACCAGGACAATGAAGACGACGACGACGAAGACGGCGACGGCGGCGGCGGCGTCGGCGGCGACGACGACCCGCGTGGGCGCCCGCGGCCGTCTCGGCGCCAGCGGCCGTCGCGGCCGTCGCCCCCGCGCGAGCCGCGCGCGGGGCCGGCCGTCGGGGGGCGCCGCGCGGGCGCGGGCGCGGGGCCTCGCGCGCGCGCGCGGCGCCGGCGGCATGCGGCTGCCCCGCAGGGCGGTCAGCACGAAAAGCCGTGGCCCTCCAGCCCTTCTGGAAGAGGTTCTTGGCATCGCTCGGACGTGTGCTTTTTTCCTTCGGCGAGGACCATCGAGGAGCATCCTTGATAATTTGGCGACAAAACCACGCACGAAACCGAAAAAAGCACAGGGAATGGACGTCCGAGCGATGGCCAGGGTTTGAGCTGCTGGGTTCGAGGGTGTGGTCTGCCTTTTTCGGCCTCTCAGGGCCGCTGTCGGGCCCCGGGGCCGCGAGAAACGGATCGGGGGCGAACGCCCGCACCAGATGGGACCCCAGGAGGGCTCCGGGGACCGATCTGGAGTGGAGTTGGCTTCCGCCCCCCTCCTGGCCGACTTGCTGAGGTCCAGACAGTTGAGACCCCCTGGTCGCTTCCAAGGTCGGAGGATCGCGCCGCATCGTCGATGCATCGGCGATGCAGCTCGGAGAACATGTCGGCGTCGCCAATGCACCGCCGACGTCGCCGATGCATCGGCGATGCGATCTTCCGACCCCATCTACTCGGACCCCATCTGGGATGCCTCTGTCAATGCAGACGTGCAAACAAGACCTGCGATGTACCGAACCCATTCGCATCAAGCGACAAGAGGAGTTGTTCTTCCAAATGCTTGACGCTTCGCGTATCCCACCAGCCCATCCCAAACCGACGCCCAGGCGAGTTGAGACGATCATGGAAGCGTAGGAGCAAAAGGGGGGTCAGTTGTTATCGTTCGAGGGAGGAGGAGGAGGAGGGGAGAAGGAGGACGAGGACGCGGAGGAGGAGGAGGAGGAGGAGGAGGAGGAGGAGGAGGAGGAGAGAAGGAGGAGCAGGAGGAGAGGAGGAGAAGAGGGGAGGAGGAGGAGGAGGAGGAGGAGGGAGGAGGAGGAGGAGGACGAGAAGGAGGAGAGGAGGACGAGGAGGAGGAGGACGAGGGGAGAGGAATAGGAGGAGGAGGAGCAGGAGGAGGAGGGGAAGAGGAGGAGGAGGAGGAGGACGAGGAGGAGGAGGAGGAGGCGGAGGAAGAGGATGGAACATGAAGAAGGGAGAAGGACGAGGAATTTTCGGATGAGGAGGAGCAGGCGGAGGAGGAGGAGGAGGATAATGAGAAGGAGGAGGAGGAGGAGGAATATGAAGAGGAGGAAGAGGGCGAGCAGAAGGATAAGAGGCGAGGGAGGAGGAGGAAGAGGAGGAGGAGGAGGAGGAATAGGCGGAGGAGGAGGAGGTGGAGGAGGATTAAGCGGATGAGGAGTAGGAGAAGTAGGAGGGAGAGGAAGTAGGAGGAGGAGGAGGAGGAGGAGGAGGAGGAAAAGGGCGAACAGAAGAGCCAGCAGCCCAGAAGCCTCTTGAATGCCTCTCGGAGTCTCCTCGGATGTCGCTTGGATGCTTTTTTTGACGCCTCTTGAGGCGTCTGGGGGCGCATCTTGGCGGGCCCAGGGCCGTCTTTGAGCGTCTTGTGTGCTTCGGGGATCCTCTTGAGGCCTATTGGAGGTCTCTCGGGAGCCTCTTGGAGGCCCTTTGTTGGGTGCCTCCTGGAGCCGTCTGAGCCTCTTTTGGGGCGCTATTGGGAGCTTTAGGGGCGCTTTTGGAGCCATCTTGGAAGACAGCGATACGAAAAGAGGAGAGCTTCAATTAGCCTTGCCCTTCTGGAGTGCCTAAAACCGCCTCCTGGGACGCTCTTGGGGCGCTCTTGGAGCCCTCTTAGGCTCTCTTGAGGCCGTCCCGGGGCTCTCTTGGGCCCCTCTTGGCGCCCTCTTGGGGTCCTCTTGAAGCCATCTTGAGGCCTCGGATGGCCATTGGAAGCGAAAAGGCGAGGAAGCCACAAACATCGATTTTCCGTCGGTGTTTGTTTGAATGATGTTGGTCTCTTGGGTGCCTCCTTCGGGAGCTCTTCGGCCAGTTGGAGCCGTCTTGAGGCGGTCTTGGGGCCTCTTGGAGAATATTGGAAGCCATCTTGAGCGACCTCGCGCTATCTGGAGCCATCTTGGAGGCCACCTTGCACTCTCTGAGGCCCTCTTGGAGCGATCTTGGGCCAACCTGGACGCTCCAACTACCCGCCCGCGACCACCCCCGTCCAAGTCCAGGGGAAGGGGTACTGGGGGAGGGGTGAACCCCTCCCCGAAGGGGAAGGAAGGGAGCCGAACGAGGAAGCTCCCTGGACCACCTGCGCCCAGAGGGCTTACCTCAGTGAGAGGAGGCCTGGGACCTGTGGCGCTCAACAGGCAGTCGTCCGGACTTGCGTTTCCCATGGTTCAAAATTATTGGACACGCACTTCCGGCTCGTCGAGTAACGTTTTTTGTAGATAATTGCGCTTCCCAGAATCCGCAGGGCTTAGGACCCCTCCCCCCTCGTGCCCAGGCGGGCCTCGCCTGGCTGCTGGGGCCCCTGCTCGCGGGCCTCCGCGCGGCGGGCGCCATCAAGCTGACGGTCACGGTCCCAGGCCGGTGCCCCGACCGCCCGCGGCGGGCGCCGCGAGGGATCGCCTCCACGCAAGAGTGACCTTTCGCCGGAGGGACCTCTGGTGCGGGCACAGATGGGTCCCCAGATAGCTGAAAACGAAGCAGTAGCAGCTGCTTGCGCGCCCAGGTTTGGTCCACCCCGGGGCCCCCAGAAGTCGCGCACCAGAGGTCACTCTTACCCAGGGTCACTCTTGCGAATAGCCGAAGGAAGCGTTCGCCGCGGGCGCTTCCGTTCCCGGACGTGCCAGCGCCACGAAGAAGAAACACGACAGGGCTGGACCTGAGCGGTGTTTTTGCCGATGGCGTGGGCCGCTTTCGGCTCGACTTCGCCTTGAGGTGAAGGCGGATTCGAGACCACAGCGAGGGAAGACGACAGCAAACGAAAACGAACAGCACCGTTTGGGTTCAGCAAACGAAAACGAACAGCAAACGAAAACGACAGCAAACGAAAACGAACAGCAAACGAAAACGAACAACGACGGGAGGTTCTTTGGCCGAGCTCGGCCTCCGCAGGGGCCCTGGCCGGGCCCCCCCCCCAGACCGGCGAACAGCGGCTCGTGGTGCCAGACCGGCCCCGGGGCTCGCACTCAACCCGCAAGGAGGAAAGACTGGTCTACTCTGTAAGAACGGTTTTTTGAAGGCAGATCTGCCTTCAAAAAAGAACGGTTTTTTGAAGGCAGATCTGCCTTCAAAAAACCGTTCTTACAGAGCAGACCAGTCTTTCCTCCTTGCGGGCCGGGCCCTCCGGGGACCGCGCGCGGCACGAGTCTCGCCGCCACGGCGGGGTTCGCCTCGGGGTGCTGGCCGGAAGGCGTCCCAAGGAGGATGTCGAGGGATCCAGTGCATCGTTTCGCCGATCCCCCATCCCCTCCCTCGAGCAGGGGGTCGAGATTACAACATTGATTTACCCCAAAATTGGTTTTCTCGTCATACGCTTGAGCAACAAAAGAAACGTTCGTTCAGCGAACAGTATACGAACGTTTTTGCTCCGTGGTTCAACGAGGAAGTAAGTCAATTCTGGGGTATATCGATTCTGCAGCCGATCCCCCATTCGAATAGCCCAGAGCCGCATACCCGAGTCGGCCAGTGGGGCCCAGGCCACGTCCGTGGGGACAGGGGTCGGCTACGCGAGGCCCCAGGCAGTTGCGCGGCAGCGGCGCACCTTCTCGCTGCCCCAGGGCCGCCCCCCCCCCCCCCCCTCCTGGCCCTTCGGGAGGGCCACGGCTCCAGCGCAGGCCGGGAGGGCCTTGGGGGACCGCTCTCCTTGCTGCTGCTCCTTCGCCTCCGCCTCGCGCCCTGCCTCCTCCCCCGCCTTCTCCTCCTCGTTCCTGCTAGCGCGCTGGGGTTTGGAGGCCACCTCACTGCAGTGGAGTGCAGTAAGAGACCGGCCTGCCGGCGGGTGCCCCACGACAATGTCTGACCTCCCGCTTGGCCCGCAGAGCCCCCCGAGGCACCCTGCGAAGCTCAGAGTCGATGCAGGATGTGCCCCCAGATCTCTTATAGCAAGGTTTCCTATAGTGCGCGCCTGCTGTAGGCAACGAGAAGAAGTGCTTCGGCGAGCAGGCCGCCAAGCAGGAGCTCCTGGTCTGCGAGATCGAGGCGCATGGCAACAAGAAGGTGAGCATGCGTGTGACGAGTCCTCAGGCGACTGTCTTCTCCGACCACGACCGTGAGAAGATCAAGACAGCGTTCACGACCACGGAAGCTGGGGCCCACTGGATGTGTATCCAGAATGAGGATTCAGAGCCCACCGACGTGACGATCACAATAGCCGTTGGTGCCGAAGCAAAGGATTATTCGCAGATAGCAAAAAAGGAGCACCTGGAGGACACCGCGGTGCTTCTCCGTAAGATTGAGGAGAATTTGAAGAATTATCACAAAAACGTATTGTATATCCGTAAGCGTGAAGAGCGAATGAGGAAAACCAACGACTCCACGGCATTTCGAGTTATCTGCTTCTGCGTCTTCAACGTGGCGCTCATGATTGCAGTGGGTGGGTGGCAGATGTTGTACTTCAAGAGGTTCTTCCGGTCCAAGAAGATCATCTGAGCCAGCCCCTCCGGCCCACGCTGTCCTCGCCAAACCTGCTGGCCTTCCTCTAACTCTCGAAGAAAGCACGGCATGAAGCATACATTGTCGGAGCGCCACACGGATCTCTTGGGTCTCTTGGGTCCGCGCTGGACCCCTTCCGGGAGGGGCGCCCGGCGCCGAGCCGAGAAGTCCGCGCGGATCTCCGGAAGTTTATGTTCTTGTTGCCGCCGCTTCTTCTTCTGTACCTCCTACAAGCCTCGTCAAACATAAACAGAAGACTTCAGAGTTCGGTGATTGTGGGGTCAGCGCTACTCCAATGCTGACGGATGTCTGTTGACTCGCACGCAGCGTTGTCCAAAAACCGGCCCCACCCTCTCAGCGTTCAAGAACGCGCTTTCTGACATGTGCCTGAAAGCATCGTGTCCCAGGATTCCAACTTCCATGTCTGGATATTTTTGACGAGGCTTGTAGGCCCTAGGCTGCTCTAGTGTCTCGCTTCGCAGACGAAACTCGCTACAGAAGGAGGGGAGAGGGAAACACACAAAAAGGCAATGCCGCGTCCGCCGCCAGCCCCGCGCGTGCTCCGAGGCGCGAGGGGTCCGCTGGCGGCTGGAGCCAGAGCGTGGCGTGCCGGGCGCCGCGCAGGTCGCCACAGTCGGACCTTCTCATCTGGCCACGGGTGGCCTGCAGAGGGCCCCCTTTCTTCTGCTGGGGCTTCGGGCTCCTCCTCCCCCTCCTCCTCCGCCTCCATCCTCCTCCCTCCTCCTCCCTCCTCCATCCTCCTCCTCCATCCTCCTCCCTCCTCCTCCTCCTCCTCCTCCTCCTCCTCCTCCTCCTCCTCCTCCTCCTCCTCCTCCTCCTCCTCCTCCTCCTCCTCCTCCCCCCCCTGCGCACAGACAGCCTCCCGAAGTGGCCCCAGCGGGCCTCGGCAGGCCACCCGAGCAGTCCCGGCTGTCCCCGACAGGCCCCCCGAGAGGTGTGGGGAGCGCCCCAGGGGCGCTTGGCCAGAGGCGGCGCCAGTGCCAAGGGCGCCTGGCCAGAGGATCACGGACCGATAGCACCTCGATTCTTGACCCTCGATCCGAGAACTGACGGCGGAGGTGGACGAATGAGGAGGGATGATGACGAGGGAAGATGATGGATGGACGGAGGGAGGGCGCAGGACGAGAGGGATGAGGAGAACGAAGAGGAGGAGGAGGAGGAGGAGGAGGAGGAGGAGGAGGAGGAGGAGGAGGAGGAGGAGGAGGAGGAGGAAGGATTGATGAGGCGGAGGAGGACAGAAGGAAGGACGTAAGGAAATACCCAGGGACGTACCCAAACACATTCTGCACATCGGGCGACTATGCACAGGAATACTTTATTCCAAAGGATGCACGGACGTACCTGTAGTCCCCTTGAACACTTCGCCTCAGAACGCCTGACTCGCCCAGTGCCCTCCATTCACGCAATAACTCTTGCGCTCCCAAAACGTCGACAGTTGCGAAGTTCACAGCACTGCAGGGAGGGCGAGGTTTAGTTCATTCCCGCGTAGGACACCGCTCCGACGGACCTCCCATGAGCTCACGAAAGCGTCGGCAGTTGCGCGGGTCGCAGCCCCGCAGGGAAGGCGAGGTCCAGTTGTGTCTTGCGCAGGACACAACTCCGCTGGACCTCCCGAACGCCCACGACAGCGGCGACAGTTGCGCAGGTCGCAACCCCGCAGGGAGGGCAAGGTCCGATATTGTCTTGCTCAGGACACCATTCCGCTGGTCCTCCAAAAAGCCCACGACGGCGGCAACAGTTGCACAGGTCGCAGTCCCGCAGGGAGTTCGAGCTCTAGTTCTGTCTTGCTCAGGACACCACCCCGCACGAACGCGGTGACAGTTGCACACCGCAGCCCCGCAGGGATGGCGAGGTCTAGTGTTGATGTGCATAGGACGCCACGCCACTGGACTTCCCAGGAATCCACGAAAGCGGCGACAGCTTCGAAGTTCACCCCGCTGGGAGTGCGAGGTCTAGTTCCGATCTGCGTTGGGCACCACTCCGCTGGACCTTCCGAAAGTTTACGAACGCGGCGACCGATGCGCAGCTCCTAGCCCCGAAAGAAGGGCGAAACCTAGCTCTGTCTTGCGTAGGATGTCGATCCGCTGGACCTCCCAAACTTCCACGGAAGCGTCGGAATTTACACAGGTCGCATCCCCTCAGGGAGAGCGAAGCGTAGTGCTGTCCTGCATGGGATACCACTCGGCTGGACACACGCCCACGAAAGCGTCGAACGTTGCGCGGGTCGCAGACCCTCAGGGAGGGCGAGCTCCAGCTGTGTCTTGGGGAGGACACAATTCCGCTGGACCTCCCGAACGCCCACGAGAGCGGCGACAGTTGTGCAGGTCGCAGCCCCGCAGGGAGGACGAGGTCTAGTTCTGTCGTGCTCAGGACACCACTCCGCTGGACCGCCCGCCCATGAGCCCACGGGAGTGGCAACAGTTGCGCAATTCGCAGCCTGTAAGGGGGCGCACAACATTCAGGAGGGGGTAGAAGAAGGAGGAGGATGAGGAGGACGAGGGCGACGGAAGAGGTCGGAGGGAAGGCACACTTGAAGTCCGCAGTGATTCCCCAATTAGAGCTTGCCTATGTAGGGGTCCTAGCGGATTCATATGTGTAGGGGACCTACGTCGCCGATTTCGGTGGCCGGGCCCGGGTGCCCGGGTGCCCGGGGGTGCCTGGGTGCCCGGTTGCCCGGGGGTGCCCGGAGGTGCCCGGGGGTGCCTGGAGGTGCCCGGGGTTGCCAAGGTGCCCGGGTGCTCCATCGCCTTATAGCCCTTTAGCCCAATAGCCCATATAGCCCAATAGCCCACATAGCCCTATAGCCCTATAGCCCCATAGCCCTATAGCCCTATAGCCTTACAGCCCTATAGCCTTGTAGCTTTATAGCCCTATAGCCCTATAGCCCTATCGCCCTATAGCTCTACAGCCCTATAGTCCTATAGTTCTATAGCCCTATAGCCCAACGGCCCATATGGCCCTATAGCTCTATAGCCCTATAGCCCTATAGTTCTATAGCCCTATAGCCCAATCGCCCAATAGCCCATATAGCCTTATAGCCCCATTGCCCAATTGCTCTACAAACCTATAGCCATATAGCCCTGTAGCTTTATAGCCTCATAGCCCCATAGCCCTATAGGTCTATAGCCTTATAGCTCTATAGCCCTAAGAAGATTCGGATTGTTTTTTTTGTTCTCCAGTCTCATCTATTCAAGTCGAGAACCAACCAGGAGAGGGTTGGGGATCATGCAAGTAGGGAAGAGGAGAACGAGGAGGAGGACGGGGAGGAGGAGGAGCAGGAGGCGGAGGAGACTGGGGTGGGAGGAGGTGGGAGGGAGGGAGGGAGGGAAGGAGGGAGGGAGAACGAGGAGGAGAAGGAAGTGGAGGAGGAGGAGACGCAGGGGAGGAGGACGACAAGGAGGATGAGGAGGAGGATGAGGATGAGGAGAAGAATGATGAGGAGGAGGGGGAGGAGGAAGAGAAGGAGGAGGAAGGAGGAGGACGAGAAGGAGACGAAGGAGGAGGTGGAGGTGGAGGAGGACACGGATGAGGGGGATGATGATGATATTCAGGATGGAGGTGGAGGGACGATTATGATGATGCTGATGATGATATTGATGATGTTGATGATGCTGATGCTGACGATGCTGGTGATGATGATGCTGCTGTTGGTGATGATTGATGATGGTGATCATGCTGGTCATGATGATGGGGATGCTGATGGGGATGCTGGCGGTGATGATGGTGCTGATGCTCATGATGATGATGCTGATGTTGAGGAGGATTCTGATGCTGATGCCTACGATGATGATGATGAGGATGATGATGACGATGCTGATGCTGCTGCTGCTGACGACGATGCTGATGCCGACGATGATGCCGAAGATGAAGATGATGATGATGATGATGATGATGATGATGATGATGCTGATGATGATGATGACGATGCCGATGGCGATGACGAGGATGATGATGTTGATGCTGATGATTGTGTTGGTGATGATGACATGATGATCCTAACGATGCTGATGACGACGGAGATGATGCTAATCATGCTGAAATGATGATGATGATGATGATGATGATGATGATGATGATGATGATGATGATGATGATGATGATGATGATGATGATGATGATGATGACGATTTGGATAGTGATGACGACGACGATGATGATGCTGCTGATGATGATAATGCTGCTGTCGACAATAATAATGACAGTGCTGCTGCTGGTGATGATGATGATGATGATGGTGACGACGACGACGACGACGACGACGACGACGACGACGACGACGACGACGACGATGATGATGATGATGATGATGATGATGATGATGATGATGATGATGATGATGAGCATGATGATGCTGCTGCTGATGATATTGACGAGGCTGCTGCTGCTGATGATGCTGATGATGATGATTTTGATGGTGATGTTGATGATGCTGCTGCTGCTGCTGATGATGATGATGATGATGATGATGATGATGGTGATGATGCTGAGGAGGAGGAGGAGGAGGAGGAGGAGGAGGAGGAGGACGATGACGATGAGGAGGAGGAGGAGGGGGAGGAGGAGGTCTGGAATCCTCCTCCTCGTCCTCCGTTAATGCCTCTCCCTTCTCCCCTTCCTCACCCTCCCCCTCTTCCCATTCTCCTCCTCCCCCTCCCCCACCTCAGGTACACAGCACGGATACAACCCTCTTCTCTTCCCTGACACTAGCATGCTTCGCGGGCATGCCCCCCTCTCACGTTTCATTTGTACAGCACACACACACACACCAGACCCGTTCTGGCACGCGTTTGAGCTAAAATGTCGAGGCGGACCCAGCCGTGGTGACGATTGGCCCCCCGAGGCTCCGAAGAGGCGAAAAACGTGAAACAACAGACAACCATCGAATCTCTGGGTTCCGAGGTCCCTCACTCCGCAGGTCTCCTAAGGTCCTAACCGCTTCCCTGGTGGTGTTTTTGTTCGTCCTGGATCCATTTCTGACGGTCCCGGGGGCCCCAGAGGCCGAAGTCGAGGAATCAAAGAACTACGGGACTGAAATCGAAACAGTCAGATCCTTCGACTGTCTGTGGGTACGTTCCGACCGGGATTCCGCGGCGGATCCAGCCGTGGCGACGCAAAGCCCCCCAGATGCCCAGAAGACACGAGCAGTGCAAAAAAAGGTGGGACGCATGGAGGATGGTGATGGGATGATGGGATGATGGGATGATGGTGATGATGGTGATGATGGAGGAGGGAGGAGGGGGACGAGGAGAGGAGAGGAGATGAGGAGAGGAGGACGCGGGGCGCTGTCTCTCCAAATCGGGGGCCCAACACCACAGGATGGTTGGGAAATAGAACCTTCGAGCCTCGAGGCTCGGAGGTGCCCACCCTCCGCAAGGTCCAAGGTCCGCTCCTCCTCCTCCTCCTCCTCCTCCTCCTCCTCCTCCTCCTCCTCCTTCTCCCCCTCCTCCTCCCTCCTCCTCCTCCTCCTCCTCCTCCTCCTCCTCCTCCTCCTCCTCCTCCTCCTCCTCTCCTCCTCCTCCCTCCTCCTCCTCCTCCTCCTCCTCCTCCTCCCTCCTCCTCCTCCTCCTCCTCTCCCTCCTCCCTCCGCCTTCCTCCCTCCTCCCTCCTCCTCCCTCCCTCCTCCCTCTCCTCCTCCTGCTCCTACTCCTCCTCCTCCTCCTCCTCCTCCTCACTCCTCCTCCTCCTCCTCCTCCCCCCTCCTCCTCCTCCTCCTCCTCCTCCTCCTCCTTCCTCCTCTCCTCCGCCTCTCCCCTCCTCCCTCCTCCCTCCTCCTCCCTCCTCCCTCTCCTCCTCTGCTCCTCCTCCTCCTCCTCCTCCTCCTCCTCCTCCCTCCTCCTGCTCTCCTCCTCCTCCTCCTCCTCCCCCCTCCTCCTCCCCCCTCCTCCTCCTTCCTCCTTCTCCTCCTCCTCCTCCTCCTCCTCCCTCCTCCCTCCTCCCTCCTCCCTCCTCCCTCCTCCCTCTCCTCCTCCTGCTCCTCCTCCGCCTCCTCCTCCCCCATCCTTCTCCTCCTCCTCCTCCTCCTCCTCCTCCTCCTCCTCCTCCTCTGACCGCCTCCCTTTGCTGTGTTCTTCGGTCCCGGATGCGTTTTTGACCGCCCCGGGGCCCGATAGCGGGCACCAGAGGCCGCAATGGAGGAAGCCTTGCGGCGTTGAGCGCGTCAGTTCGTTGGAGATGCGCAGCACCCCGCAGTTGCGGATGAGAGTGATGGCGGCGGGCTCGGGGTGGGTGACGGGTGGGTCGCGGGATGGTTCGCGGGTGGGTCGCGGGGTGGGTCGCGGGATGGGTCGCGGGTGGGTCGCGGGTGGGTCAGGATGGGGGGTCGCGGTGGGGACGACGACAGCAGCAAACCTTTTGATACTGATTCTTGATGGCTGGAAGTTCGTTTGTAGCCCTCACCTCCTCCTCCTCCTCCTCCTCCTCCTCCTCCTCCTCCTATTCCTCCATTTTGGCTCAAGCGATCGCATTGGCCGCCGCCGTCCGCCCCGCGCGATGGCTCGGCCTAGAGGGGCCCCCTCGGCTGCGGTGGACGGCGTCGCCCTGCTGGCGGCCGCCGTCCGCGCCGCTGTGGAGGCGAAGGCGCCGCGCCGCACTGTGGCGGCGGTGGCTGGCGCTGTGGCGGCGGTCGCGCTCCGTGCGCGGACCGCGCCACCCGCGCCGCCGCCCGCCGCTGGTGCTGCGCGCGCCGAGGATGCGGATGCGCCCCCGCGCAGCTCCGCCGCGAAGGTCGAGCGCCGCCGACGCCGCCGCCAGCGCCTTGCGGCGCGGCGGGCGGCGGAGCGCGGCGGGGCGGCCAACGCGGCCGACGCTGGGCGTGGAGGCGCTGCTGACGGTGCCGCCGCCGCTGCTGGCCTCGAGCTCGTGCAGCTCCCCATGGTCGTCGACGTCGTCGACGACGAGTGGGCTGACGAGCTGCCGCCGCGCCGTGCGCGGAGGCAGCTGCGGCGCACCGACACGGTGGCGGCGGAGGACCCGCGTCCTCCTGCCGCCGCCGTGGCCGCTGCGGCGGCGGGCTGCGGCGGCGCGGCGGGCATGCAGGCGTTCCTCGAGGAGGCCTTCGCCGCGGGCGTGTCCCCCGCCGACGCCGCGGCCCTGGTTGCTGGGGGCCTCCTTCCGCGTGATGGTCCACGCGGTGGTGGTCCGGGGCCCGGGGCGGCCGGCCGCGGGAGGAGCAGCGGGGGGGGGCGGTAGGGGCCTCGCCGCTACGCGTGCAGGGCCCTCGCCCCTTCCCCCTCCCGCGGGCATCGTGGTGCTCGTCGGCATGGTCGTGCTCGTCATCACGGTCGGGGGTCCTGCCCCGTCAGGACCCCCGTGCGCCCGCGCGCGCGGGCGCGCGCGCGGGCTTCGGGGGAGGCGGCACCGTCTCCTCTATGGCTCGTCGATCCTCCTCCTATTCCTCCTCATCCTCCTCCTTCCTTCTGTTCCTCCTCCTCCTCCTCCTCCTCCTCCTCCTCCTCCTGTTCCTCCTCATCTCTTCACCCCTCAGGTGGCGCCCGTGTGTGTGCTCCTTGTCTTGCCCTCCACCGCCCGGTCGCCCTGGACGGGCGACACCAGCTGGCTGCCCGCCGCGTGCTGTCCACGTAGCGATGTGCAGCTTGCCCTACACTGATCCTTGGATACTGGAATTTGCCAGTCGCGACCGACGAGATCGGTCGCTACCGATTTTGCTTCCAATTCCGGGGTCGGTCGCAACCGATTTGATTCCAAAGCGGTCGCGACCGACCGGTCGCGATCGGTCGCGACAAGTCGTGACCGATTCAGGTCTTGGTCGCGACCGGTCGCGACCGATGTGGAGTGCCGATCGGTCGCTACCGATCGCGACCGGACACATCCGGTATCCAATGATTACGGCAGCCCGGCAGCCCGGGACCCAGTCTTTCTGCGTCATTTTTCAAGCCGAATCGATCGGTGAGGGTCCGGGGGCCCGAAACCGGGCGAAAACGCGGGCTGATAGAAAGAAAACTACAGGGCCACGATCTCTGAGGGGACGTACAGCTTGCCCCACCCCACCCCGCCCCGCCCCCCTGAGCACGATTGGCAGCTCTTCGGGAATCACTAGAACCACAAGTGACATGGCGAACGAAGCGAATCACTATTGCGATTGTCCGAGGCAGGAATTTATCCATATCCACCGCCTGGAGGGTCAGTTTTCGGAGCCTCGGCAGGCGGCGGATATGGACATGATCGGGCCCCCGGGGGCCGAATATGTCCACACCCACCGCCCGCTGAGGCACCAGGACGTCGGTTCCCAGGCGGTGGATATGGACATCAGGGAGCCCGAACGTGGCCCCCAAAGATCGCTCAAGGTAGCCCAACATGGCCCATTGTAGCTAACACAACGCGCCCCCATAATTATGGATAAATCCCCGCCTCGCAGATTGGCGAAGCAGACGCCAAAACGAGCCCCCCCCCCCCCCCCCCCCCCGCGAGGTCTCCTGGTGCGCCGCCCCCGGCGCCCCAGAGGCCGCGCCGCCCGCCGGCGACGAGGGCGGGCCCGCCGCCGAGGGCGCGGCGCCTGCGCTGGCCGGCGGCGCTGTGGTGCCCTGCCCGTGCCCTGGCCGCCGTCGGGGGAGCGGGCCCCGAGGTCTGCGTGTTCGCTCGATTTCGGGCCCCGGGAGCCTCACAGATCGATCGGGCTCGAAAAATGGCGCAGAAAGATGAGGTTCGGGGCCCCGGACGTGATTTTTGTGATGTTGCAATTTTTGTTGCAACGTCGGATCTCAGGGAACGACACAAGGTGCAGCCCTGGTCCTGGGGGAGGGCACCATACGGTCCAGGACCTAAGTCCCTCGGAGCCTGTCGCTTCCATGCTAAGCAGTGAAGGGGCGCGTTCTGTGGGCGCTTGGAGGGGGGGCACGGGGTTTGGAACCAGATGCCCCCCCCCCCCCTGGATTGAAGGGGGGGAGTTCGAACCCCCCCCTCCCCCCCCTCCTCCCCTACTTTTCCTCTCTCCCTCTCAGCTCGGGCCGGCGCCGGCGTCGGCGGCGGCTGGCGGCGGCGGCGGGGAGCGTCGATGAAGACGACGACTTACTTTTCTGGGCCGACGCCGGCGACGGCGGCGGCTGGCGGCGGCGGCGGGGAGCGTCGACGAGGACGACGGCGACGACGATGACGACGACGACGACGCTCCGCCACCGTGCCTTGGCTGTGGGTCAGAGTCCTAATGGATGCCTATTAGGGTCTCGTCGGAGGGCTTTCGGGGGCCTCTGAAGGGCATTTGTGAAGCCTCCTGGGCGCCAGTTGGGCGTCTCTTTGGGCCTCTCTGAGGTGGTGGTGGTGGTGGGCTGTGGTGGTGGTGGTTGTGGTGTGTTGGTTGTTGGTGGTGGTGGTGGTGGTGTGGTGGTTGGTGGTGGTGGTGGTGGTTGTTGTGGTGGTTGTGGTGGCAGGTGGTTGTGGTGGTGGCGGTGGCGGTGGTGGTGGTGTGGCTGTTTCTGGTGGTTGTGGTGATAGTTGTGGTGGTGGTGGGTTGTGGTGGCGGTGGTGGTGGTGGCGGCGGTGGTGCTGTGGTGGTTTGTCGTGGTGGTTGTGGTGGTGGTAGTGATTATGGTGGTAGTGGGTTGGGGTGGTGGTGGTGGTGGTGGTGGCGGTGTTGTGGTTGTGGTGTGGTGGTGGTGTGGTGGGTGGTATTGGTGGTGGGTGGTTCGGGTGGTGGTGGGTGGTGGTGGGTGGGTGTGGTGGTGTGGTGGTTTGTGTTGGTGGTGGTGGGTGGTGTGGGTTGTGGTGGTGGTGGGGTGGTGGTGGCGTGGTGGTGGTGGTTGTGGTGTGGTGGTTTGTGGTGGTGGTGGTGGCGGCGTTGGTGGTGGAGGTGGTGGGTTGTGGAGGTGGTGCTGGTGGCGGTGGTGGTGTCCGTGGTGGGGGTGGTGGTGGTGGGGCTGTTTTTGGTGGTCGTGGTGGTAGTTCTAGTGGTGGTGGGTTGTAGGGGCGGTGGTGGTGGTGGCGGTGGTGGTGTGGTGGTTTGTCGTGGTGGCTTGTGGTGGTGATCGGTTGCTCTGGTGGTGAGATGGTGGTGGTGGTGGTGGTGGTGGTTGTGGCGGTAGTGGTGGTGTTGTGGTGGTTTGCGGTGGTTGTGGTGATGGTGGTTGTGTGGTGGTTTCTTTGTGGTGGTGGTTGTGTGGTGGTTTGTTGTGGTGGTGGGGGTGTGTGCTGCTGGTGGTAATGGTGTTGGTTGTGGCGGTGGTGGTGGTGGTGTGGTAGATGATTGTGGTGGTGGTGGTCGTGGTGGTGGGTTGTTGTGGTGGTGGTGGTGGTGTTGGGTTGTTGTTGTTGTCGTGGTGGTGGTGGTGTGGTGAGATGGTGGTTGTGGCGTCGTGGTGGTGGTGGTGGTGTGGTGGTTTGCGGTGGTTGTGGTGGTGGTGGTTGAGTGATGGTTTGTTGTAGTGGCGGGGGGTTGTGTTGGTGGTGGTGGTGGTGTTGGTTGTGGTGGTGGTGGTGGTGGTGGTGGTGTGGTAGATTATTGTGGTGGTGGTGGTGGTCGTGGTGGTGGTTTGTTGTTGTGGTGATGTTGGGTTGTGGTGGTGGTGGTTTGGTGGTTGATGGTTGTGGTTGTGGTGGTGGTGTGGTTGGTGGTGGTTTGTTGTGGTGGTGGTCGTTTGTGTGGTGGTGGTGGCAGTAGTGGTGGCGGTGGTGGTGGTGGCGTGGTGGTTTGTGGTGGTTGTCGTGGTGGTGGTGGGCTGTGGTGTTGGTGGTGGTAATGGTGGTGCCGGTGGTGGTGGTGGTGATGGTGATGGTGGGTGGTGGGTGGGTGGTTGGTGGTTGTGATGGTGGTGGTGGTTGTGGTGGTGTGGTGGTTTGTGGTGGTGTTGGTGGGTTGTGGTGGTGGTGGCGGTGGTGGCGGTGGTGGTGATGGTGGTGGTGGTGTCGTGGTTTGTTGCGTTTGTGGTGGTAGTGGTTGTGGTGGGTTGTGGTGTGTTGTGGTGGTGGTAGTGGTTAACTGTGGTGGTGGTGGTATTGGGTGGTTTTCGGTGATGGTGGTGGTTGTGGTGGTGGTGGTGGGTTGTGGTGGTTGTAGTGGTGGTGGTGGCGGTGGTGGTGGTGGTTGTGTGGTGGTTGGTGGTGGTGGTGGTGGCGTGGCTTTTAGGGTCTCTCCGCCATCGCGTTTTGGCTTCGGGTCAGAATTCTAGTGAATGCCTCTTGAGGGCTCGTCAGAAGGGGTCTCGGGGGTGTGAAGCCCCCTGGACCTTCCTGAGGGCCTCTCGGTGGATTTTGGGGGGCGAGGGCTAGATATGGCGATGTGTGTTTCCCCTCTGCGGCCTCTGGGCCCTCTCGGGTCATCGTCGCTGCGTCCCCGCCGTCGGCGCTGCTGGCCGCCGTCAGCGCCAGCGCCGATGCTGACGATGATGATAATGATGATGATTCTGATGATGATGCTGATGATGATGGTGGTGGTTATGATTACGATGATGACGATGACGACGCCGATAATGATGATGCTGTTGATGCTGATGATGATGACAATGATTTTGATGGTGATGATGATGGTGCTGGCGATGATGATGATGATGATGATGATGATGATGATGATGATGATGATGATGATGATGATGATGATGACGATGACGACGATGATGATGACCATGATGATGATGATGATGATGATGATGATGATGATGATGATGATGATGATGATGATGATGATGATGATGATGATGATGATGATGATGATGATGATGACGACGACTTGTGAGGAGGAGGATGAGGAGGAGCAGGAGGAGGAGGAGGAGGACAGGGAAGGAGGGGGGGGAAGGGGGAGGGGAGGGGAGGGGGGAGGGGGGAGGGGGGAGAGAGCTGAGGGGGAGGACGAAGAGGGGGTCCAGGAGGATGGAGAGGACAAGGACGACAATGAGTTGGCAATGGAGGGTGTGGAGGAGCAGGAGCAGGAGGAGGAGGAGAGGACGAGGAGGAGGAGGAGGAGGAGAGAGGAGGAGGAGCAGGAGGATCAGGAGGAGGAAGTGGACGACAGTTTCGACATCCAAATCACATCGAGTTTCCTGTTCCATCGTGTCCTTCTGACTGCACTCTGCTTGCACCGTGCTCGCTGTCGTTACCTCCCGCAGAAGCGCCAGCGCCGGGGACCGGGCGTTCTGCTGACGCCTTCGAGCTTTGGCTCCCTTAGCTGCTCCAGCAACGGAGCACACGAGCTGGGGCGCCCTGTGACACAGACAACCGGCGACGTGATCTTCTCACAGCGCGGCCTCCCAGAGGTCTGGACCTCGGACCCCTTCCTTGGGGCTCGGCTATCTATCCTGCGTCGTTTCCTGGCGGCCTCTGGGCCGAGTGAGGGCTCCCAGTGGCCGAACATGGGAAAGAACAGCCCGCCGCGAATTTGCTCTCACGATGCGGGGCTGTCAGGGGCAGGGTCTCGCAGTCCGGGCCCAGGGCCTGCTCTGGGGTGCGTTCCGATGTCGAGGGGGTTCCAGGCGCGGCGGCGGGAGGCCCGCCAAGGGCTCACAGAAGAGGCGAGAAGCGGTGAAATTAGGAGCGAACAACACGCGCAGACCCGGATCCATTGGGGGGAACGGGGGGGGCTACGGGTGCGTGTCGTCGGATAGGGGTTCCCGCTCGTACGGGAGCCTCCCCGGAGGTCCGACAGCCCTTACCCATGCCCATGGGCAGACCTTCTCCCTCCGCCCCCCCTGTGGGTATGGGTGCGTGTGTGTGTGTGTGTGTGTGTGTGTGCGTGTGTCGATGTGTGTGTGTGTTTGTACACTTTGTGTGTGTGTGTGCGTTGGTCAAAATACTTCCCGGCCACGAACTTCGAATGGTGCCAGGTCGACCCATGGGCGCTCGGCCCAGCGGCCAGAGCGGCATCCGAGCACCCGGGGCCCGTTCGGCGCCGCAGTGTCCCCCAAGCGGGGACTCCTGATCAACCAAGACATCTCGAATCTTTTTGTTTGATCCGCGGGTCGAGAGCGAGCCTCTTGTTGTCGAAGCTAAGCGGGCCGCGCACAGCTTTAATTAACAGAGGAAGGGAAACAGAAGGCGGGGCGTCATGTCAAGGCCAAGAGAGGGCAAAGCCCCGGGATCAGGCGGTGCCGAAAGCGAAGTGCATGCAAAGGAACGCCTTGGACAGGAACCAGGAGGCGAAGAACCGGGAGGCGAAACATCTCGAGTAACACAAGAGCGCTGAACATCTTTTCTCGGAGGTCCGCGTGGATTTCTTGGATCGGCGCTGCCCCGTCCCCCCCCCCATTGGCAGTGCCTCCAGCGGTCGCCAGGGAGGGGGGGCCCAGCGCCGACCCAACAACCCCGCGCGGAGCTCCGAAAGTTTATGCTTGTGCCGTTTTACGTATGTTCCTCCAACATCGGCGCGCCCGAGAAAACGGCAATCGTGGGTCGAAGCAGTCTCCGTGCTTCGTTCGCTCCAGGTGGAGATGTTCTGAGAGTCCTGGTTTCAGCAATGTCCTCGTCTTGCTTTATGATGTTCCAACCTACTTTTAGCTTTGATCGCCTGAGAGAATTTCGAGCACCAGGACAGCACCGGGCTTTCACCTGTCGGGCCCTGGGAGGCGAGATTCGCTCGACGTTGCTTCGATACTGCCCTGGGTGCCCGCCACCATTTTGGGGGCTGTGGCCCTGTACTCCACATCCCTTATGAATCGACCCCCCCTAAAAAACCAGACCCCCCTCCAAATGCGACCAAATATTCCGGACCCCCCTCGTCGACGGGGCGCCTTAATAAACCGGACCCCTTAAGCTCCAATCCAAAGAAAGCGCCCTGATAAAGCGGACCCCATCAGTTACAGAAGCGGCGCCTTAAAAAACTAGACCCGGGGGGCGATGAATAAGGGATCTGGAGTGAGTGCGATGGGAACAGCCTAATTTTACCAGCCTCGAACGTATCCCTATCCCCAAGATTGACACGCCAGAAAGAGATGACAATCTCAGGGATGCGCCCTCAAAACATAAGGGAGTCCCTGAGATTGGCATCGTGCTGAGGAGATGCCCAGCATAGGGATAAGGATATGTTCCAAGCTGGTAATAATTACGCCTTGCGGTCGGGAACTTCTGGTCAGCGGTGCCGCGCCGCGGGCCCAGGAGGCGGAGGAGGCGGACCCCACCACGCGCTCCCGTTCCGGCTCGCTGCTCCTGCCCGGGAGCCTCCGCGCAGCACCGCCGGAGCCCGCGCCCCTCTCCGCCCCCGCCACGCACAGCGGAGCGACGCGCCGTCCGCCTGCCAGCCAGCTCCTCCGGGTGCCAGTCTTTCCGCCCGCGATGCCTAGCGAACGAACGCTGGGCGCTCCAAGTCGGTCGCGACGGATGGCGACCGCTTCGAAGCTATTCCTCTCGACCCGTCGCGACAGGTCGGGCGCGACCGATCAGTCGCGACCGGTTTTGAAACACATCGGTCACGACTGATCCCAGCATGTGAAGCAACATCGGTAGCAACCGACCTCGTCGGTCGCGACTGGGGAATTCAAGTGTCCGGTGATCAGGGCAGGGCATGATGAGCCTGCCGCCGGGGTCGCCGCCGCGACACGTCCAGCAAAAGTACGGACCGTATGGGGGCCCGAGTCGGACGTGGCTGGGACGAGGATCAATCCTTTCCACAGCGCTCCAGAGCGCTCTCAGAGCGTCCCAGAGCGCTCTGAGACGGCCGCGGCACCCGAGACATCCCCCAGAGCCGCCGCCGCCTTCGAGGATCGAAGGAGCCGTTACCCTCGGAGAGCTCGGTCGTCCAACCCTCCCGAATCCGTGGGGGCAGCCGCGGGCTCGTGCCTCGGGGGCCCGAGCGAGAGTTGCCCGGGACCGCAGCTGTCCTGGAGAATCTGGGCGTCCAGACATGGGGCGTTCCAGAAAGGGGCCAGCCTTCGAGGCTCGAAGGACGTTGTCCTCTCTCCCTCGGCGGGAGGCGGGCGGGAGGGCGGCGGACGCCCGCGGAAGGCAAACGACAGGCCGCCTGCGCCAGCGGGAGCCGGCGGAAGGACAGCGCGGGCCCGCGGGAGCACAAGAGGCCCCCAGGAGGTCTCCAAGACGGCCCAAGCGGCCTCCAACAGGGCCTCCAGCAAGTCCCGAAGAGGCCAGAATCAGTGGTTGTCCTCAGGTTTCACGGATTTCGGCATTTGCTCATATTCGGCCGTCCGACGGCCCAAGATGGCGCCCCCAAAGATCGCCCCTAGATCGCCCAATTGGCCTCCAAGATGGTCCCGAAACGGCCCTTATGCTCACCCGATGTTATGCCCCAAGGCCTTGACGTTTCGAGGCCATCGACTTGTGGGGATCAAGCCCGATAAAGGGGAGGTAAGTCAATGCAGATACATCGAGGCATATCCAGGGACATCCGAGGAAGCCCAGGTATATTTCCAGGTCGATCCAGAGATCTCCAGGGCAACCTGGAGCAGATCGTGGCCGCTCCAGCACGAATCGAGGGACGGCAGAAGGCGTTCAGCCCTTCACGAGTGATCCTCGCCCTGGCTGTACGTCGGGCATGTCCTTCTACAGGAGGAGTATTCAGCAAAAGTGAAAACTGGCATCGTGACGATTTCTCGCGCTCAGTCGACTATTTCTGCTTACTTTTCTGATTCGGTTTTACCTGTCTTCCAGAATCCGCCTGTCGGAGGACACGCCCGATCTAATGTTGTCCTCGCCTTGGCTCCGTCTCACCGCGGGCCCCGCTCGGGGCCGCGCGGGCGGGCTGCCGCCCGCCTCCCTCCGAGGGGCCTCTCGCGCGGCGCGCGTCCCCCGCCCCCTCTCCAGGTGCTCGACGACCGGGGGCTGCACTGCGGCCCGTGGGGCCCCCGCGTGGTGCTGGGAGGCGGCGCGGGGGGTGCCTGGGCCGCTTCAGGGCGGGGTCGAGGTGCGTCCTGCGCCTCCCAAGATGGGGTCGGAGTGGGTGGGGCCGGAGGATCGCTCAGCGTCGCCGGTGCATCGCCGATGCGGCTCGATGCGGAGCCCGATCGGCTTCACGTCGACGTCGCCGATGCATGTTGCCCACGTCGCCGATGCATCGCCGACGCATCGCCGATGCGGCGCGATCCTCCGGGCCCAGAGTCAGCAGGGCTGGGGGCAGTCAGGGGTAGCTGCAGATTCGCGCAACTCGGGGTCCCGAGTCGGGGTTGCCCCGGAGCGCAGGTATCCTCGGCGAATTCGGGCGTCCAACCCTCCTGAACCATCGGGGCGGGGGGCAGTCAGGGATAGCTACGGATTCGCGCCCCGGGGGCCCAACTCGGAGTTGCCCCGGACCGCAGTCTTCCTCTGTGGCGGATGCGGGCGTCCAGCCCTCCCGAATCGCCAGGGGTGTATAGCTACGGGCTCGTGCCTCGGGGGCCCGAGCGAGAGTTGCCCCGGACCGCAGCTGTCCTGGGCAGCCCGGGCGGCCAGACATGGGGCGCTCCAGAAGGGGCCAGCTCTCGACAGGCGAAGGATGCTGCCCTCTCTCCCTCGGCGGAGGGCGGCCAGAGGCGGGCGGGAGGCGGCGGAAGCAAAATGAGGGCGGCACCGCTGGCGGAAGCCGGTTTTGTTTTGTTTTGTTTTGTTTTGTTGTCTTTTGTTTTGTTTTGTTTTGTTTTGTTTTTTTGTTGGCTGACAAACAAACAAACATCGCCTTCCCAAGAGATGGCACGGTTTGTCGGTTCAGGGTTTTTTGGAAACCCGCCGCATGGTTCTGCGCCGTTTGCTCCGACGCGCGGCCGTGGCCACCAGGGCACACGCCGCCTCGGGCGCGGCGGGTTCGCCGTGGGTGTGCCGCGGTGCCGGCTGCGTCTGCTGGGGCGCGGGGCGCAGGGCTTGCCGCGGGTTTGCCGTGGCGTCGGCGTTGCCGACCTGGGCGCTTCGAGAGCAAACGGCGCGCCGACAAGTGGGGTCGTTTCAGGCGTCCCAGATGGGGTCCAAGCAGATGGGGTCGAAGGATCGTTCCGAATCGCCGATGCATCACCGATTGCGCTCCACGCCGATGTCGCCGACGGATCGGCGGCGTCGTCGATGCATCGCCGATGCATCGGCGATGCACCGGTGATGCGGCAAGGTCCACCGACCTCATCTGCTCGGACCCCGCTTGGGAGGCCTTCAGTCTCAGAGGAAAAAGTTATACCCATACAGCTACCCCACCCTCGTTGCCACGCCTGGATTCGCCTCGAAGTCGTGGTCTGAACGCACCCTAGGAGAGGTCCGGGGAGCAGCGGTGCCGTTATCTGTTTGTCCCCCCAGGGCATGTTCAGGCCCCCCAAGTTCAGAGGGGAAGCAGAGACCACCCCCAGATCTCCGGCGACCTCATTTTTCCAATCTGGGCGTGCTTCCTCGGCTTCTGCCTCTGCGGCCCATGGTCGGGCTCCGGGACGCGCAAAAGCGGATCCGCGATGAAAAACTTGCCCCCGTAGAAAGGAAGGGCCGGGACTCGCGGGCTGAAGTCGAAGAAGTAAAACGCCATAAACATACTTTTTGGGCTTCTTCTTTTCTTTATTAGGGGAACAAAAAGTGGCATAAACATAAAAAAACTCGGAGGTCCGCGCGGATTTCTCGGATCGGCGCTGGACCCCCCTCCCTGGCGCGCGGAGCGCGCCAGGGGCGGCGCCGGAGGCGCCGCCGGGGGGCCCCAGCGCCGATCCGAGAAATCCGCGCGGACCTCCGAGTTTTTATGTTCATGTCATTTTTTGTTCCCCTATTTATGAAACAAAAGTCTGTCGGCGGGCACGAGGGAGCAGAGAGGCCCCCTCCGCCGAGAGCCCAGCGGTGGGCGGGCCTTGCCCCCGAGCGGCGGCCCGCCCGCGCGTCGCACGGGTGCCGAACGGCGCTTGCTCGGGAGTGCTGGTGGTGCCCAGAGGGGCGGGCCTCCTCCCGGAGCTCTCTCGGCTCCCCCCGGAGCCTTCTCTCCCGTGGCCAGAGTGGGGTCGAAGCGGGTGTGATCGGTGGATCCTGCATCTCGGGGGCGGCAAAAAAAAGGGGGTGATGACTAGGGGGGGGTGATGACTAGGGGGTGATGACTAGGGGGGGTGAAGACTAGGGGGGTGGGCGGATATCATGACGGGGCCAATGATATTTCCTCAGATCTCATGGCGCCTCTTCTAGTCTGGACGCCCGAATTGGGCACGGAAAGAATGGGTACGATGCCCAACAGCAGTTCCTGTTCATTCTGAGCAGGGCTCGCTGTCCGCGCCGCCGCGCCCGGTGTCCATTCGAGACAGGAGGCCGCCTGCCCAACAGCGGCCGCTGTTGGCTTGGAACAACATGTGTTGTTGGGCATTGTACCCATTCTTTCCGTGCCCATTTCGGGCGTCCAAAAGTGGGGCCGAAGCGGGTGTGATCGGTGGATCCTGCATCTCGGGGGCGGCAAAAAAAGGGGGTAATGACTAGGGGGGGCGGATATCACGGCGCGGGACATGATATTTCCCCAGGTCTCATGGCGCCTCTTCTAGCTTCATTACGTCCCTGGCCCCCTCCCCCTGGGCCGCGCACATGCCGCCGGCCACGATTTGCGCCCCCCCCCCCCTTTGGACACCCCCCCCTCTTGGCCGCCCCCGAGCACCGCGCATCGGGGCACAGAGGCGAGGCCACAGAGGCGATGGGCTCCCCGCTCCCCCAGTCATGGCTGGTCGGCCCTCCCCTCTTGGACACCCCCCTCCCAGACCCCCGACGTCATGATTTTTTCATGACGCGCCCCCCAAAACTCTGGACCCATTCCCCGGGACCGGTTTTTCATCCTGAGTCGTTTTTTGACGGTCCCGAGGCCCGGTAAGGGCCCCCAGAGGCCGAAAATACCGAAAAACCTCCCGTCGTGATTTTTTCATGACCCGAGGGGGTCTGGGCCTCTTGGACACCCCCCCCTCTTGGCCGCCCCCGAGCACCGCGCATCGGGGCACAGAGGCGAGGCCATCTCCGCCGGGGGGCGGGCCGGCCCCTGGGGCGGCGGCGCGCCCGCGGGCGCCACGCCAGGGAGGGCCCGCCGGCGCTCTCCGGAGTGCTGTGCCGTCCAGGCCCCCCCCGCTAGGGTCGGGGGAGCGTAAGACCCGGGTTTGCCGGGACTCGGGTTCGCCATCGTTTTTTGACGACCGCGACTCGGATTTTGACGAGGAGGAGTTTCGTGGGATGTCTGCAGCGGGAGGCCTCGTCAAAATGCAGGCTCGGCCTCGTCATTTTTTTGACGACCTCGTCGGGGATTTCCACGTGCGAAGCCTACCCCTACCCCCCAGGCTTTCTGGGGGGGGAGGGGGGGGTTCACTCCGTTCCAGAACTCGTGGGGGGTAGGGGCAGGGTTCGCACGTGCCCCCCCCCCCCCCCCCCAGGAGTGCTCGGCGGCGGTTCGGTGGCAAGTCGTGGGAGGCGTGCCCTCGTAGTCAAGTCGGGCCTGTCCCTCTACAGGGGGGATATTCAAAAATAGTCAAAAAATAGCATGGGGATTCTTTTTTGACCATTTCTGAGCATTTTTATTGTATTTTTGGGGTATTTTCTTTGTCGTCGACAGTCTCCCTGTAGGGGGACAGGCCCGACTTAACTGTAGCGTCGACTAGCGTCGATTAGCGTCTGGGAGTCGATGAGATAGCGCTGGTTTGGCGTCGGCTAGCGTCGATTGGCGTCGATGTAGCGTCGATTTAGCGTCGAGTTAGCGCCGACTTAGCGTCGATTTAGCGTCGACTAGCGTCGACTCGCAAGAGCCGACAAGATGGTACGGGAGGCTCCCATGAGTTGCCACCGAAGTCGAAGCAGATGTGATCGGTGGATCGCGCTGCGTCGCTGGTTCATCGGCGGTTCGGCTCGATGTGGAGCCCGATGTTTTCCTCGCCGACGTCGCCGATGCATCGGCGAGGCGGCGCGATCCTCCGACCCCACCTGCTCGGACCCCATCTGGGAGGCCTCCAGTCTCAGAGGAAGAAGTGATACCGCTACCGCTACCCCACCCTCGCTGCCACGCCAAAATTCGCAAGGCGGCGCCGAGTCACCCCAGGCCCCCGAGGTGTTTTTTTTTCCCTGCCTAGGCTCTGCCTAGAAGGGTTCTTACTCGGTATGCTTAAAGGGCCGGGCAGTGCAACTCGCCCCGGGCGGTTCCCCCAGTATCCGACCCGCGGTTCCCCCAGTTACGTCCCCTTAACTTCGCGTTGTTTATCTCATCTTAGCTTAGCTTATTTCATCTTAGCTTAGCTTAGCTTCATCTTAGCTCAGGTTTATCTTAGCTAGTTTACCTTCATCTTAGCTTCGCTGAGCTTTAGCATAGCAGACCACAGCATAGCATATCATAGCGTAGCATAGCATAGCGCAGCACACCATATCATAGCATAGCCCAGCATAGCACAGCGTAGCGCAGCATAACATTTCATATCATAGCATAGCGCAGCTTAGCATAGCATATCATAGCATATCATAACATGCCATAGCATAGTATACCATAGCATAGCGCAGCTTAGCATAGCATAGCATAGCATAACTTAGCACAACACAGCGCAGCTTAGCATAAATTAGCATAGCATATCATGGCATAGCATAGCATAGCATAGCGCAGCATCGCATCGCATATCATGGCATATCATAGCGCAGCATAGCATGGTATAACATAACATAGCATATCATAGCATAGCATAGCATAGCAACTATGCTGCTTTCCTAGGGGCTCCAACTTCTAGGTAGGGTCGCACTGGGGTAATTTGTTCTATTCCGGCGTTGTTGTCCCCCAAGTCTCGGTGCCCCTGTGCCGTCTTCGGGTTCCGGGATGATGAAAAGTGGACCCTGGACCAAGCCGCAGTGCTTCCGTGTCGTTCTCATGAGCGAGACAAGCGGCATAGACATACGCGTTCGGAGGTCCGCGCTGAAGCCTGTGCGAAGCGCCGACGGTTTCCGTGCACGCGTATGTTTTTTTAATACCGTTGCTCTGGCTTGCAGTCAACCCGCACAGTCAGCATGGGCAACCTTCCCAAGGGTACCCTTGCATCCTAGCTTCCTCGGTCCACTTTTGTTGGCCGCGCCTCGCCTGGAAAGCTTCGGAATTGGCGTCCAGGGGCTTTGCATTCTTATCGTGCATCCTTCTGATACGGGTCGACTGTAGCCAGCTTGGCTTGGTATAGTCCCGCAAGGGACGTCCCTCTGGTCCCCCAGGCACCACAAAGACACGGTCTCGTGAGCACAGCGTGAAATGCTTCCGGGATGTGCAGGACGCCAGTCACCAAGCAGTTTCGGCGCTCCGTAGAATCCGAGGCCAAGATGCTCGAGTTGGAGCTTTAAGCGTGACCTCTTCCATTGAGTGCGAAGGCGACGCCTGAGAGAGAGAGAGAGAGAGACAGAGAGACAGAAAGAGAGAGGGAGAGAGCGGAGGAGCCAGTAACTATGCTGTTTGATGGAAGTTCCAAGCAGTGCGTTTTCGAAGGTGCGGCTCGTAAGGCTCTGTTCATCATACCTTGTGCGTGGCGTGGGGGCGGCGGCCCAGGGGAGGTGTAGCAGGACGTTGTTTGATGTGCTGGTGTGCGAGAAGCCGGCAGAATGAACAAGTGTGATGAGTTGTAGGTTGCGCACTCCCCACCGTGCGAGGGCACGTTGTCGACTTGTCGACCTGACGATTGAGGATGACGCGCGCAGCAGTCGACAACGACTGTTTTGTCCCAGCCGGTGCTTGCGCTCAGAGGTCGCTGCTTCCCTTCCTAAATGGTTGTTCGGGCTGAGGTCTCGCCAGGCTGCCGCCCGTGGGTGCCTCCTGCGCTGGCTGGGTGGGGTCGGGGGTTCTGCCCCGCTGCCGCGCGAGGGCGCCTCGTGGGCGCCCCGTGCGCTGGCTGGTGGGGTCGGGGGTCTCGCAGCGCTGCCGCGCGCGGGCGCCTCGTGGGCTCGCGCCGCAGCGCGCACCACGCGGATGACGCCGCATGGCTTGCGCCACGTTGGCCTGCACCACGCGGCCTGCACCACGTGGCTTGCACCACGTGGCCTGCACCACATGGCTTGCAGCACTCTGTTCGCACCGCGTAGACGGTGCATCGCGTAGAACCTGCACCACGTAGGGTGCACAGCACACAGGGTGCACGTCCATGCTGGCAGGCAGAACACACCACACACAGGGTACACACCTAGGGTACACACCACACAGGGTACACACCACACTGAACTTTGTGTGCGGAATGGGTCTGCGAGCTTGAGCTCAGTGTGCAAGGGTCAGCACACAGGTCTGCAAGGTTTGGTTCTGGTTCTTGCGTACAAGGAGATCGAGGCAGATCAAGAGAGAGAGAGAAGTAGATCGAGGCAGAGAGGGTCGGTGAGGCAGGAGGACTCGAGATGGGGGTAATTGGCACGAGCAGACAGGAGTCCAAATGTGCAGTCGCGGAAATCACACCATGTACCTAGACAGGTTGCCGAAACAAGGTGGCCGCAGCCCAGGGGAGGCGAAGTTTCCATTTGCACTTTGTCGCGCAATGGCGTAGGCTCTGGAACAAAGTTTCACTTCGCCTTCGGCTCGGTGGGTTTTTCGTCCGGCAGGCACCATTCTTCTTTCATGTGTTGTTCTTCTCTACGATTGCTTTGAACGCGTCTCCATGGATGTACCTGCGTGACAGGGCTGCCACAACACTGATTTCTGTCATTGTTTGTTCCATTACCATATCATCTGGGCGTGTTGCAGCAGCTAGTTTGCTTGAATCGCGTATCTTCCGCTGCATCTGACCCTGGTTCATCTTCTGTGGATTCAGGTGTCCTCCCCACTTGTACCGATCGCCTTTCACCCTTCATGCCTTGGCCCACCCTTTACACATACAACCGCGTTTGTCTCGCGTCTCTACTGATCCCTCGTTTCATCCCTTGCCTCCATCCAGCCGTGGCTCACTCTCGATCTCCAGCCTTGCTTGAGCTCCTCCGCCTCATCATCCTTTTTGGCGCAAACGCTCACTCAACCAGAACTCACGCGAACCTTTTACCGTTTACTAGAGGCACAACTTTCTCCGTCGATCATGCACTCCAGCTCCAGCGCAAGCCTGGCGATTATCGTCGTGGCCTTCTCCTTATGGTCCCTTCCCGCGCAAGCAAGGGGTCCGGCAGCGAGGAAGAGCTCGCTGAGGGGTGAGCTCAATGCGGCCTCGTTCGGGGACGAGGTGCGCGAGGCCACCGCCGAGGTGCTAGGGTGCGGAGGCCAGGTCGACCAGGCGCGCCTGGCCCGCGTGGAGGAGGCGCTGCGGCCGATCTGGCGCTCGAGCCCGAAGAACGAGGGTGGCCGCGTCGAGCACCGCACGCTCCGCTACATCCGAAGACGACAGATCGGCGTAAACATAATCTTTTGGAGCTCTGTGCGGATTTCTGTTGGGATCACGGCTGGATCCCCCTGGCGGCGCCTCTGGCGGCGCTCTTGGCGCGCGGAGCGCGCCAGGGGGTACCGCCCCGATCCAAGAAGTCCGCGCGGACCTCCGAAAGTTCATGCCTACGCCGATCTTTCTTCTTCCACGCATGGCCCACAGGTACTTCACACAGAGATTTTCCATGTGGGTTCGCGGCCTGGAGCACTCCAGCTCGGCGATGTCCGAGTGGCGGGCCGCTGACGAGCTGAGCCAGCAGGTGCCGAAGTACGTGGAGTCCGTTCTGGCCTCTCGGCATGCCGCCGAGCATGGCTTCGACCTCCGCGATGCGGCACTCATGGTGGCCGCGCTGGAGCGGATGATCTTCGACGCAGAGAGCCATCTGCTGGAGGATGTGTACCAGAGGCACGGGAGGTCTACCGAGGGCATTCGCCGCTCGGCTCTGGTCTCCATTGTGGAGGAGTACCTGCTGAGGTGGATCCTGGCCGAGAATGTTGGTGACAGGCCCGGGCCGCTGATGAACCGCGAGCTGACGGCCCGCGCGTTCCCGAACTGGCGCCAGGTCGCCGACATGGCCGCCGGGGAGATCAGGGCGCTGGACTTCCGGAAGAGGCGCCTGTCCCAGCGCTACACATTCGACGACGCCCACGAGATCGTCAGCGGCATCGTCCACCGCTTCGGGTCGTTCTGGGAGTCGGAGTGCACGTCCATGAAGGACCAGCTGGTCGCCATGGACGTCCACAGGACTGGCCGCGTGCCCCTCGCGAAGTTCTACGGCTCCGGGCTGGACGCGGACTGGCGCTTCGCAGAGTCGGAGGCGTACCTGCGAGACCTGGGCGCCCTGGACGAGACCTCGCCGTGGCGCGGCAAGCAGGTCATCATCGCCAACTACATCCAGGCCGCCTCGAACTGCATCGTCTCCACATCCCGAAGACCAGAACGGCACATATATATATATATATATGTACATATAGACAAACATATGTGTGTGTATGTGTATGTATATATACACATATGTAGAGATGCACTCTCGGAAGTTCGCGCGGATTTGTCCTGTCGGCGCTGCACCCCCCTCCGCGGACTTCTCCTGTCGACAGCCGTGGCGGCGCTTCCCGCGCCGCCCCCTGGCGCGCTCCGCGCTCCGCGCGCGGGGGGCAGGAGTGCGGGTCGGGGCGTCGAGAGCCGACCCGAGGAGCCCGCGCAGGCTTCCGAGCACTTTCCCCTCCTCCTCC